CGCAGCAGAGGCTATGGCCAACACTCTCCCACACACCACACACAACCCACTCGCGCTCACACTCACACCCGTGTTGGTCATAGACCCTGCTAATACCGATCAGGGGTATCCAGAGGACACAGTCAGAGATATGAACCGGATCATTGCTACCTTCTGCATGGACTGGCTGGGGGGGGAAAGGGAGGGATGGGTGGCGGCAGTAAAGTGGACCGGTCGCCGGACAGAGAGAGAAGCACGAGGGGAACCCCGAGAGGAATCCCGGGCAGAAATAATAAGGGACTATCAGTTGATCTTTCACGACTGGACCAAGATTGACCCCGGCTCCCCGCTGCGTCCCGCCCAGGACTTCGCAGATCCATTCCCACCCCATCCGCTGTCCTTAGCAGAAATCTTGCCGCCTGCATAAGCTCGGACTGCATCTCAGAAAGTCTCAGAATACGTCAGCTGTGCAGCAGAGTAAAACTCGGACTGGAAAGCGTCCAGAAAATCCTTCAGCTGTGCAGCAGAGTTCAGCGCAGTTCAGCCTGGTTTTCAGCCTGTTTTCGGTCGCCCTCCGAGTGCCCTTGGTCCGTGTGGGCGGAGGCTAGGGGAGGGAGGGAGGTCAGCGCAGCTCAGAGCAGCCTGGTTCAGCCTGGTTTCTCAGCCTATCTTCAGTTGCTCTCTGTTGTTCCTTGTTGCTCTTCCAGCCCTTCCAGCCCGCGCTGCAGCAGATTTCAGCGCAGCTCAGAGCAGCCTGGTTCAGCTTAGATCAGCCTGGTCTTCAGCCTGGTTTCTGTTGCCCCTCGCTCCCTTATTGTTCACACAGGATTCCCCGTGTTTTTTGCAAAGATRTACTTAWGGGACGCTGGACCAGTTTCCAGCAATAGATGACGCCATGAGGACAGTAGGTGGAGCACAGGAGCTAGGGGAAGGGTACTGTTCTGTACAGAGGTAGAGTAGTCATGGGACGCTGGGCCCGGTTCCCAGCAGATGAGGCCTCCCACACAATTCTCCAGGAAAAAAAAAATAAAAAAAAAATAAAAAAAATAAAAATGTTCCAGTCTGTTTCAGTTGTTTCCAAACATTTGCTATTACAGATGCGCAAGCCACAATAGGCGCCAAGAGGATAGTAGAGGATAGTGGGTGGGTGGCAGAGGCTAGGGGAGGGAGGGAGACTCCACTGGTGCCCCCCGGTGGTTTCCCCCCCCAATACCCGACTGTGTGGCAGGCTAGGTAGGGAAGAGCAGAATGAATATGGGACGCTGGACCCGGTTTCCAGCACATTGGCGCCACTTTCATTGATGTGTTGTTCTGCAAGATGTACTTAAGGGACGCTGGACCCGGTTTCCAGCAGGTGCTGCTCCCCACCAATAGATGGAGCGGCCCGCTAGGCAAAGCCTCAATCCTGGTGGTTCTCTTACCACCACCAGGATAGAGGTCTTGCACAAGGGCCTAAAAAATAATAATAATAAAAAATAAAAAAATAAAAAAATCATGATGATAGGTGTCTCTTTTTTTTTTTCTTTTTTTTTTCTTTTTTTTTTTCTGAAAACATCCCCTACAGTGTTAGTGGTGCTGGTAAGAGCAGACACTGCTACCACCTGGGGAGCGGCTCCATCTATTGGTGGGGAGCAACACCTGCTGGAAAGCGGGCCCAGCGTCCCATAAGCATATCGAAACAGGGCATATGGGGGTTCCTGCCAGCATTGATTACCCTGGAGTCCAGGGGATTGACTGTGCAGGATAATGGAGGGAGGGGGGATATCAGCTAGGTCTGTGGTGGGTGAGTAGAGGGCGTGAGTCGGTTGGTCAGGATCAACTAATAATGATGATAGGCGTCTCGATGATAAGTACCCCCATTAATATCAGCTACACTGTGTGTGGCAGACTAGGGCTGTGGTGGGCGAGTAGAGGGCGTGAGTCACTGGTTGGTCTGGATTAACTGATGATGAAGATAGGCGTTTCGAGGATAAGTAACCCGCCTTAAAATCAACTAGGACTGTGGTGTGCGAGTAGAGGGCGTGAGTTACCGGTTGGTCAACCTAGGGGCTAGTAGGAGATTGCTTGGGCCTGGCGTCCGAAGTTCCCGTGCGACGAGCCTCGTTCGATTCCGCTTCCACCAGGGCTGGGTCATGGCTAGCCCTGTTGCCTGTCACTACTGTTCGGTCCAAGTTCCCCTCAATACCAAGTAGGGGTAATGGTCCTGAGTGCTGGTCACAATGAGGTAGGATAGTAGAGATAGGGGGTGCGCTAGGAGTATTGACGTGAGGATGGGATGGGAAGGTAGCCTCCTTCCCTCGGGACAACCATGGATGACCGCTCCAGACGATCAATGTGTGTTTAGTAACCGGCCTCTACAACACCCTGGGCTTCAAAAAAAAAAAAAAAAAAGACCACCAGGCTAATATCAGCTCCGCTTTCGCGATTGAGCCCTGCTATCCCTCTGAGGCCACCATCCGACTTCGAGGACCCCTTTCCCCCACACCCGCTGTCCCTCGTGGAGGTCCTGAGGGATAGGGATGAGGTGTAACGGGTCCCCCCAAACAGCAGATATGTGTAGACAGGTTACCTGGAGAGTGACATGCAGGATGAGGGAACACAGAGGACCTCCGATGCCCCTCGGAGGACTCTTGTTGTTCCCTGAAGTCTGCTCCATCTTCAGGAACTACTCAGAAGGGACGTTGGACCCGGTTCCCAGCAGAAAGGTGCTGCATTTGCCCCCACACTCCAGATTGATGTCTATTTCATATGGGACGCTGGGCCCGGTTCCCACCATGTGTCGCTCCCCACAAACAGATCGGAGCCAGGTGTTTTGAAGAATGCTATTTTTCCTTTTCTTCCTGTTTTTGGTGGTGTGGAAAATGATACTTTCCTTTTCCTCCGGTGATGAAGGGGGAAGGAGGGAGATCCCACTAGCCATGTATGTGGATTAGTGTGACGGGTGTGGGACGGGTGGGGGACGGGTGGGTGGCAGCGTGGAATAGGGAAAATAAAGCATTTCACGACCAAAAAAATGAAGAAAAAACTGCTAAAAAAGAAAAGAAAGTGCTCTTCTCACAGATGGTGTCTGCTCCAGGCGGGGTGTCAGATGTCAGGGTATGATTCACTGACCATGGCTGTGGCAGTCAAGAGTCAAGACGACTGCATGTGAGTGGGCACACGCACCATATTCATTCAATTTCATTGACAATAGTCTGAGGCTTCCTTGAAATAGGCAGCAGTGCACGCTGTTTGGGTGTTCTTACAGAAATTCTCTTTGGCAAAGGAGGGCAAGACTAAGGGCGTCGTTAGACACTCCTCGGGGACGTGATTCCAAGGATTTCGTCCTCGTTCCACCTGTCCTCGGAGATGAAATCGGAAACGAAAATGCGAAAACACTCCGAGGACAAATCCTTGGGCTCCGAGGATTTCCCAGCCAAATCGTCCTCGGCCCCAAGAGACCTCGCGAGGTCCCAAAGGACCTTGCGATGTCCTTTGGGGCCCGAGGATCCGTGTTTCACGGAGAGGAGAGGGCATGCACATAGAGAGACGTTACAACTGAGAATTCGGATCGTGGCGGCACCCTATTGGCTGAAAGCCTGAAGCACAACTTTTTTTCTTTTTTTTTCCCTTTCGTTTTTCTGACATTGCTCCGAGGACGAGTCCTAAAACCGATGCTCTGAGGATGAATTTAACGAAGACGACAAAAACCCTTAACTTTTCTGAGGTTTCATCCTCAGAGCCCGAGAAGTCCCCGAGGAGTGTCTAACGACGCCCTAACTCCGTACACCATTTGCTGTAGGTGAGGGTATGGAACCCTCCCAAACACCTCCCGAACCACAATCAATTTCCAGCGATGAAGCCATTTGTCTTTACAATCAATTTCCAGCGATGAAGCCATTTGTCTTTGCCTTCGCCATGAGTGAAACGTGTGTGATTTCACGAACCGAAAAACTTGGTTGCGCTTTCACGCACGTTTGGGACAGCCACAGGACCTCAACAACAAAAACAAAAGAAAAACCTACCGATGGGAGAGCAAAAGAAAACGTCCTTTTCCCCGGCTTAATTCACAAAAGCAGGCTACCACTGACTTCCTGCCAAATCCACGATGCCTGACAGTCACACACCTTAAACACTAATCCACATACATCCGTGGTGGGATCTCCCTCCTGGTGTACTATCCCAAATTTTCATTAATCATCAATGCATTCCAATTATAAGGGACGCTGGGCCCGGTTCCCAGCACGTGCTGCTCCCCACGAATAGATTGGAGCAATTGTACGAAAAAAAAAGAAAAAAGAAAAGGGTCGTAGGAGATGACAAGGATGTATTCCCCACCAGTGGAATGGAGCCATCCAACAACGGGCCCTGTAGGGGTATCTGCTCTTATCAGTACACCCCAGATTTGCCACGGCCGAGATGTCTCGGCCACACCCCAGATTGGCCATGGCCCAGATATATCGGCCAAACCCCGGCGTGGCCCGACCATGATTTGTTTGTATTTTTTTTATTTTTTTATTTTCGCAACCATACGACGGATTTAAAAAAAAAAAAAAAAAAAA